CAGTCTTACACACAGCATCAAACAAAAGTTACTGCCCTTATTGCCACATCAGACTGCCCTCTGAAAGGCTGCTCTGAGCCTTTGTACCTCCACTTTCCTCCCTCCACCGAAGTGTTCACTTACAGCTACCTTTATTCTCCCTACCTCTGCTTTCTCTATGACCAAGGACAAGCCTATTGCAAGTGATGGGAAGACACCTACGGGGGATGTCCCTACTGGTCTTGCACCATTCACTACATGGGTGACTTCCAGTCCCACAGTATTACTCCTCCAACTGTTTCATGAAATATCCCAACGGCTCATTCTCCTTATCAATCCGAGATACCTGGGACTCTAGATGGGCTGCTGGAGTCACAGCCTCAGTTACCTACGTGCGGTCCTCGACCCCCCACGGTACCCTTCATATCTCTCGAGAGTATGTTCCCTCTCACTCTCAGATCTCTCAAGTTGTATCAGATATCAGACATTCCGAAAAAGTCATTATCCAAACTTTTGATGGCGCCTCTTCATCTTCTTATTCCTTCTATTCTTGTTTACAGCTCATTCAAGACACCACCATCTTTCTCAACCACATCCTCAACACCGCCAATTGTTTCTTGTGTGCATTACTATAGCGCCCACTGCTGGCCGCCGTGCCCCTTAATATTTCCAAGTACTCCTTCCATGCAGAAGGACAACCCCTCCACCCCCTGGCAGACATACCCCTGTGGGAACCAGAATATGCAGGTAATCTCACCATCCACCACTGTGTAGGCCCAACTCCACCCCCCTTCAGTGCACTTCACTGCCTCTCTAACTACACCCCTATCTCCGGCTGTAAGACTTTTACACCACCGGGACACTTCTTTTGGTGTAATGGCAGTCTTTTCAACTCACTGCCTCTCAACTCCCATACACCCTGCATTCTCATCACCCTAATCCCACAGCTTACACTTTACAGCATGGCAGAATTCCTTGAGCTCCACCCTCCCTTGCCCTCGCTCACAAAAAGGTCTGCTTTCCTTCCCATTATGGTCGGTATCTCTTTGATCACCTCAGCCATTGGGGCAGGGTTTTCGGGAGGAGCCTTGGGTCACTCTCTATGTGCATTTAGAGATCTCGACGCCAAACTTGAGGGAGCCCTGACATCCACTGCCGATTCCCTAGCCTCTCTCCAAAGACAGGTCACTTTGCCAGCTAAAGTCACCCTTCAAAATTGGCGGGCCCTAGATCTGCTTACAGCCGAGAAGGGCGGCACCTGTGTCTTTCTCTGGGATGAGTGCTGCTATTACATCAACGAATCCAGCAGTGTAGAAACTGACATCACCAAACTCACTTACCTTGCCTCCAGTCTCCACTCTGCTTCCAATTCCAACCCATTCTCTTCAATACTAACAAACCCCCTCCTTACCTGGGTCTGGCCCATTGCAGGCCCCATAATAGTCATTCTTCTCGTCTGTCTCTTCTTACCCTGTATAATAAAGTTCATCAAATCCCATGTCGGAAAAATCTCTAATCAAGCTTTCAGCCAGCTTTTACTCAGGAACTATCAGCTTCTGGCCAGAGAAGATGCCTCACCCTCTCGTGACCTCCTCACCACACGCTGAGATGGACCCCTCTCTCCACTGGAAACTGTTCCTGGAAACAATGGCCGCAGACGCCTGGCTCCTGACACCCATATCCTCTTGGCACCATTGGAATCAACAGGTCCTCGACCTATGGTTTCAGGGAACCTTCATTGATTTCCAACCTGAAAGAAGTCCACATCTACTCATCCTTACTGTGGGGAATCCTATCAACCCTTTCCTCCCAATCCTCAAGCCCTCACTCCCTTCTCCGCCCCTGTTCAGCAGGAAGCAGAGAGAAAGCAACGTCCACAACCCCATAGAGGAGAAAGGGGGGAATGAAGGGTCCCTACCAGTAAGATGGCAAACTTACGGCTTCTCTTCGCGGTCCTTGGTTCCCGCCGGCGCCACCTGAAGCCCAATCACCTCTCGCCCCCCTCCCAATCCCAGCACCTAGCCAACAGCCACCAGCCCTGTAGAAGTAACACCGCAATGACCCTATGCTCCTTCCTATATACCCAGCACCTTTCCCTAATAAAGCGAATTTTCCGGTGAATTGCTGCTGTGTGTTGCTCCTTTCCTTTCACTTCCTTTGATGAAGAGCTGTTAGTTTATTGTTATTCATATTTGTGAATGTGATGTGTCTGCATTGTCTCATGTTTTTTGTTTGTTTATTGTAGGTTAGTAATACCTTAGTTTAGTTGGGAGGAGTAAATGAGAGTGTTTGTGGAAAGACCTTCTGAAACTGTTTCAAGTTCTCCACAGATGTAACATAGTGTTTTGTCAGCCAGAAGTCTGAAGAAGAGGAGTTGATGCAAATAATAAGGGAATGAATGCAATTCCTTCCTTACTCCATGCCTACAAAATAACTTTAATGTTGAAAATCATATTTGTGGTTTCTGAAATATTCAGAATATTCTAAAAGAAGAGTGATCAGTAACTGTACCTTGCTTTTGTCAAGAAATATGGAAGAGATCCTGGTCTGTGTGAAAGGACAATATAATGAATATTGTACATTATTTACTGGAATGCAACATAGAGCACATAGGAAATTCTGGGCTTGCCCTTTTCTGCTATTGTCCAAAAAGACCCAAGAAAAATGATTGTTTTGCAGATGTGGGGCCAGTTGTGTGTTCTCTTTGCTGATGAAAAATGAAACGCAGCGTCTAAATGCTCCTCTCACACTATGTGGCCCAGATTTCAAGTGGAAATGTTAAAATGTGGAAATTCGAGAAGGCATGGTAACTTGGTTTACAGTCCTCTATCTCTGTAAAACCATTATTGTTTTTGTTATTCTTATTGCCAATGATGTGCTCAAAAGGCCAAGGCTCTAAATTCTGGAAATAATTACTCTAGAAATGGGAAACACACAAGATGATAATAAACATCTTGGCAGGTTAATCTATTCCAGCCAAATTCGTGAATACATTTTTGTGTGTGCTTAGCTGTGACAACTTTTCCTTGAAAGCAATGGTTCCTATTACTGTGCTGTTTATGCCGGGGTTCTTGTTTACGGAGCCGAAGAATGAGCTTCATAAACAGTCAAGGTAGGAGAGGGAGGTACAGGCTTTTATTTAGAGATAAAGTGAAAGGGACAGAGCTCCCGGCTCACGCCAGGAGGGGACAAGAGAGTCTGTAGTGGTGTGTTGTCTAGGGGGTTTTATAGGCAGTTGAGGATTTTTCGAGAACATGAAAAAACTTAGGGGTGGGCGCTTGTTAAATGGTCCCTGAATATTAAAAATTGACTTAACTGTAAGGAATTTCCTGCTTTGATTTCTCTCTGCAACACTGGTGCCTTGGTCTGGGAGCATATCAAAAGGCTGCTTGCCCAGCCCCCAAGGTGGGCTGAGGTATTGTCTGCTTGCTAAAGAATCTAGCCTCTTGACCTTCCTGGGTGTTAAAATGCAATCTTATCTTCAAGATGTAATTCTTCCTGCCCTTTACTATGCTGTTCACAGCTGGGTCTGCATGGTAAGTTAGTTGCTCAGTTTGCAGAATTATCTAATCAGATCTGAAGGAGGAAATACAGCACATAGGCCTGGACCTTTTAGTATGCTAAAGTGAATCTTGCACATGGTTACAAATGATTAGCATAATAAAACATGTGCTACTCTTTATCTGGGGAACATTAACTGATTTCACTGAAGAATGATTCTAGAGCTCAATGTTTAACATAGAGTTTTAGCAGGGGGTGTTTCCTTGCATGTAGTTACATTGCTATGACTGCAGATATCCCACCCTGCCCCCTCCGGAGGCCCTCACTCTATTCTGACTACATCTATGGTCCCTGTCTCACTGTCTCCCTCAGTAAGCTAGCCTAAGAGCACAAGCTCCCAGTAAGCTTGCATGTCTTCCAGATGTGTGTGAGCAGGATGTTGAAACTAGGGAGGGAAAGAAGAAACAGGAAAAGGTAACCAAAAGAAGACAAGCTTGAGCTTTCCTAGAAGATGGTCCAATGGGTTACCTTAGTTGGTGAAAGCAGTGCTCCTCAGACTTTAAACAACATATGAATCCCCCAGGGATTATATTAAAATGTACTTTCTGATTCAGTAGATCTGGGGTGTTACCTGTTAATGTGTATTTCCATCAAGCTCCCAGGTGATGAACCAGTGTTGAAATTGCAGGGGTGGAGAGTTTGGCTGGACATGTTGAACATCATATTTTGAAAGTTTCAATAAAGATTGTTTGTCAAAAGGGTAGCTAAATGTGATTTAATTTTACACCAATATTGAACTTCTATGTCATAAAATTGAAAATCATTGACCCAAAATTAAAGATTTGTCTGGCCATACTACCCTGAATTTTTTCATTGATTTCTTCCTTAGTTTAGGTACCTTGGTGAATACTGTGTGAGCAAGTTAAATTTGTTCTCCTGCCAGATAGTATTCTAACCCAGGCTGCCATCTGGCTAATGTGTAAAATGTCCATGTTGTGCCTGTATTGCCATGGAAAGGGCCGTGGAGTGGTAGACAGACCAGCTGGCTTCTAATTCCAGTTCTGCCAGCTAGCTCTGGGACCTTGAGCACTACATCTACAAAAGGGAGATAAGTTTTATTTTGTAGAATGATTGTGGATATTTGGTGAGAGATGAGAAAGCCCATTGCTGAAAACGGGTGCTCAATTAATGCTTAAGAAGACTCCTTTAGGAGTACAATTTAGGATCTTTAGGTCCTGTAGGCTTTGGGTAGAATAGATCAGAGAGGACAGGAATTCAGGATAAAAGGTGTCTAGAATTTAAAAGAAGGACTTCACTAAGCTGCCCTCCTTCCTTTTTAATGTACTTTTAATTGCTCAGATCTTTTACTGAAGGTCTGATCTTTTGTTTAACTTAATGAAATGCAGGTGGCTACTTGCTGAGAGTATTTGCCTTTCTTTTCTCTCTCTGCCCTAACAGATGAGGAAATCAGTCAAAGGACAGCAATGTTGACCATCTTTCCTGTTTCTCTTCCTTTGCAGATTACTCCTCAGCTGTTCAGAAATTTTCCCAGACACTGCAATCCTTTCAATTTGATTTTATTGGGGACACACTAACTGATGATGAGATTAACATTGGTAAGTCTTCAGCTACATGTGGCATGTGCTTCTCAAGGCAGGTCTCACACCATGCAGCCTCCTTGGTGTGTGGGTACAGAGAACCTGGGCATCTTAATCCACTGTGGCTCAGTGCCACACTCCTGGGAGGCTGCTTAAGAAGGATAAAGAAATTCCTTCCTCATTTCATTTCCTTCTCACACAAAAACAGTCTTAAGATAACCCTTATATCTCTGCTGAGGCATTAAATTCAGTCAGTCTGCAGGGGAATTTTTCTTTAAATAATCTAATATATGAAAATAGATATTTTTATAAAGGATAAATTAAACAATGGTATTTTTATTGTTTATTTCCCAAAATGATTCAGAGTAAAATTCCTCTGAGGAACAAACTCTCCTATAAAGCTTAAAATGAGCATTTATATATGTATAGCTTTCCAGGCAACAGGACATTTGGCATCTCCTTGGAACTGAATGTCACAACTCATTCTAGTGCTATGTGCTCTTGGACAAGATATTTCCTCTCAAACTTAGTCTTGTCCTCTGTAAAATATAGTTAATATCTATCTCTCAAGAATGTTAGAAAGAGGAGGTTGAACAGTGAAAAAGGCAACTGAACAATAAAAGTAAAAAAAAAAAAACGAACAAACTTTGTGTTTGTGTTAGTTGTTATGAAATTCAAGTAGTATTGGCAAGTTGACCCTTAGGCCAAATCTTGCCCTCCATCTTTTTTGTAAACAAAGTTTTGTTGGAACATAGTCATACTTATTCATTTAAGTATTGTCTATGGTACTTTTATAGTATAACAGCAATATTGAGTGGTAGTGGCAGAGACTGTATGACTTTTAAAACCTAAAATATTTGTGTGCTAGCATTTAAGAAAAAGTTTGGTGACCACTGAGTTAAAGAGTTTGTGTAAAGCATTTGGTGGATGAGAACACTGAACCATAGAACTATTGTGAATGATCTAATGTCGCTGAAACAAGTTAGTATCACAATTATATTTATGAACTCCAAAACTAAAATATAAAAATCTGCTATTATTATTAAATATTTATTGTAGTAAATGTGATAAATATGCAAATGTATAAAATTACCTGTGCTAATTTAATAAGATATTCTGGCACTGAAAGGAAAAGGGGGGATGCGAACTCAACAGTCCAAGCAGGTTTATTGCTAAACCTGAGAGGGACCCCTCTGTTCTGGCCAGCAGAGCAAAGAAGGTGTCTCTTACAGGCTAAGAGGCTTTTTATGGCCAGGTTTTTTGGCAGGCTTTTTTAGGGGAGGGGTCAGGGAAAAGGTGGGCTTGTGGCTTACTGACATGTCCTCTGGAGAATGGTTGTAGCCTAGGTCAGATGAAACCTAGCTCTCTCTGAGGTGACTGGTGGGGTTATTCAACAAGGCAGTACTCCTATCCAGATTCTGTCAGGCACAGAAGCAATGTATTGGACAGATCAGCCTATTATCTTTCAGTGCTGTTGTTTACACGTATCTGTTTTATGTGTATGCAATTTAGTTCATGCTAAATGCCCAATCTTATCTTTTCAACCTAGCATTTTATCATAAGCATTTTAATATAATGTTTAAAATTCTTTGTATATTTTATGGAGGGAAAGGGCACTGTTTTGTTCACTGCTCTTTCCCTAGCATATAAAGGAGTGCCCAGCATATAAGAGATGCTCAATGCATGTTTGCTGAATGAATAATGGACTCATTTAAATTTCACTATTATAGGAGGCATACTTTATATTGTATTCAACTACTGTTGGAAATTTTGCTTATTTCCAATTTTTCACTATTTTAAATAGTACTGCAATGAATATTATGAGATTGAGATTGGCGACTATTTGTTTTGGCTTAATGATAGGCAGTGTAACTAGTGAGGCAGACATTTGTATTTGGATTATTTCTTTATTCACTTCTCTTTATTTCATTTCAGCAAATCTATCTTGGCCTAAGCCTATGACTTATTTAAAAGGTGATGTCATGGGCTCTGGAGTCAGACAGCCCATGTTTGAACTCTAGCTTTGCAATTTATTAGCTGTGTAACCTTGGCAAGTAACTTCACCTCTCTGAGTGTTAATTTTCCTTGTCTGTAAAATGGGGATGAGGCAATCACTGCCAAATGTACACGCTGCCTAAATAAATGTTTGCTACTTATTCATTATTGTTAATATAATATTTGCTTTCTTTGTATTGTTAATATAAGATTTGCTTTCTTTGTAATTTGCAATGATCTGAATATTTTTGTATCTTCCAAAATTCATATGTTGAAATTCTTATCCCTGATGTGATGGAGGTGGTGCTTTTGGGAGGCAATTAGGGCACTGAATGGGCCCCTGTGAATGGGATTAGTGCCCCCATAAAAGAGATCCCAGAGAGCTCCCTCATGTTTTCATCATGTGAGGATACAAGAAGCTGGTAGTCTGCAACCTGGAAGAGGGCTTCCATCAGAATCTGACCATGCTGATCTCAGACTTCTAGCTTCCAGAACTGTGAAAAATAAATTTCTGTTGTTTATAAGCCACCCAGCGTATGGTGTTTCATTGTAGTGGCCCAAGCTCAGTAAGACAGAAGTTGGTACTGAGAAGTGAGGGTGGTGCTGTAAGAAATATCTAAAAATGTGGATGTTGTTTTGGAACTGGACAATGGCCAGAGGTTGGAAGAGTTTTGAGGTTGCATGCTAGAAAAAGCTAAGATTTCTGTGAATGGAAGCTTAAAGGTGATTCTGGCAAAAACTCAGAAGAAAATGAGTGGTAGAAAAAATTTCAATCTTAGAGAATACCAAAGTATTCATGAACAGAATATTGGTAGAAATATGGATGGTAGAGGTCATACTGATTAGGTAGGTCACAGAAATGTGGAATATGTAATTTGTTATTTTATATAATGGAGAAAAGGTAATCCATGTTATAAAGCAGCAAAGGGCTTGGGTGAATTGTGTTCATGTTTTAGTGTTGTTTGTCAAAGGTAAAACTTGTGAGCAATAAAATTGGATTTTGGGTGAGGAGATTTGTAAGCAAGTGTTAAAGGAGTGGCTTGGTTCCTTCTGACTAGCTATGATAAAATGCAAGAGGAGAGAAAGGAATTGAAGATGGAATTGTTAAGTGAAAAATAACCAGAACTTAAATTTTTGGACATTTCTCTGCCTGTCCATATTACAAAAAATGAAAGCATGTTTGGAAGAGAACACAAAAGGTGTGGCAGACCTATCATTTGACAAGTAGATTAGTGTAGATGTGAACCGTGGACTTTTAATAAACCATCTCAGCAAAAGCCAGGAATAGAGATGGGTTTATGCTAGCAAAAAAACTACCAGGTAGGACTAAAGGAAACAATAACAAAAAATGGGACAAAATGAAGGAAGAATATTTTACTTCTTAAATCTTACAGGACCAGACCATAGAGGAATTTGACTGTGAATGTGCACTATTCTATTCTCCAAGACAAGGGAAAAAAGACCTGGAAGCAATTCAGAGATTTTCACAGCTGCCACTCCTACCACGTTTCTAGAGTACATGGACCCCGTGTTGGGGAGGTGGGTGTTAGGGTGCCAAGACCTAGATTTCCAAGTGCAAGACCAATGCCCAGGGAGCCATAGGGGCAGGGCCACCCTGCAGAGCCCTGAGGGTACAACAGTCACTCTCCAACTCCCTCCAGAAAACTGAGACATGAGTGGGACCACTGCAGGGAGCCACAATGTGGGCAGACCTCCACCAGACTGTGGGGATGATGTTGCCACCTCAGTGGGTCTGGAATCCTGGACTGCTGCCCCAGTGGGTATGGAATGTGAAGCCTCAGCCAAAGACTATTATCCTTGAGTGTTAAGATTGCAAAGAACTTGCTATATTTTGGACTTGCCTGGAACTTGTCATCCTTTCCTTCTTTCCTTTCTCCCTTTTGGAATGAAAATGTCTGTCCTATACCCATCCCACTATTATATTTTGGAAGTACATAAGTGGTTTCACAGGTTTACAGCTAGAGAGGAATTTTGCCTCACTACAAGTCACACCTGGAATCTTACCCATATCTGATTTGAATATTTAGATAAGACTTTGGACTTAAAACTGAAGAGTTTTACAGAATGAGTTAAGAGTTTAGGGATTGTTGGGATGGAATGAAGATGTATTTTGGATGTTACAAGGATGTGGATTTTGTGGGACAAAGGGCAGAATACAGTGGATTGAGTGTTTCTACCTCCCCAAAATTCATGTTGAAAGTCTAACCCCCAATGTGATGATACCAGGAGGTGAAGCATTTGGGAGTTAATTAGATCCTGAGGGTGAAGCCCTCATGAATGGGATTAGCACCCTCATAAAAGGAACCCTAGATAGTGTTTTAGCCCTTTTGCCATCACGTGAAGATACAATGAGAAGTCAGCCATCTCCAACCTGGAAGAGGCCTCTCACCAGAACCCGACCAGGTTTGCTCCCTGATCTTGGATTTCCAGCTTCCAGAGCTGTGAGGAATTTCTATTGTTTGTTTGTCACCCAGTCTATGGTATTTCATTCTAGCAGCCCAAAGTGACTAAAACATACTTTGTTGAAATAACTACTACTAGCCTGTCAATGGATGACCTTGAAGATTAGAGATGCATGGTATGTGGATTTCTTTAAATGTCTCTTTTTTTTTCTGCTAGGAAGGTCAGATTCTGTTAGGGTATTTCCCTAAAGTCAATCAACAGATCTGAGGTATGTCCCATGTCATCTTTTATGCTGAACTTTGTGTTTCAACTTTCTCACCCCTTTTAACCTCAAGGGTCAACTAGTGACGGTGGGAAAAAGAGGGTGTACCACCTTGAGCATACTGGCTTATAAACAAAAATAAAGATGATTCACTGGTGCTGCCAGGTTCCTCAGGGTATCTTTGGTGAACTGCTGGCTGTGACAACACATTTGCTTCTTAATGTATGCTTTACAATAACCCTTTAACCCAGATATTACTCGCCTGAAACTTCAGAAGCTCTTAGTTATAATCTGACCATTGCTTTTAAGGGTGTTGTCTCCTGAACGAACCTTTATT